AAACGATTTTTAAATTAGAAAATAAATAACTTTTTTATTATATTACATTTTATATTATTTTATATTTTATGTAATAATATTGATTCTTAAATAATTTAAATTGGGATAAAATAGGGATTTAAAAAATTAGAAAATGTTAAGTATTAAATATAAAATTTAGATAAATAACATTTTATAATACATTTTATGTAAATGAATTACGTATAGAATATATTGAGTAATAGTAACTAATTCATTAATTTCCGATTAATCGTTGTATAGAAAATAAGGAAAATATTGCAATAAAAACAAGTATTTTTGAAATATTTATTTTAAAATAGTAGAATACAAAAACATAAAATGGAAATGTACTTTAAAATTATCGATAACTTTATTAAAGGTGTTTTGGAGTTAGTCATTTCTTCACGAATGTATTTTAATTCATTTACTCCTATCTTCATGAGATAAACAATAGTTGTATTGCTTGCATGCAATATCTTAGATTTATCAAAATATTATTAATTTTAAGTTTTTGGTAAGCAATAAATTGAATTGTTAATACAGAAGAATTAGATCCAATTATAATTTGTATTATGCAACATATAAAATATCGCAGAAAAATTTGGAAAAGAATAGTCAAACACCTAAAACAAGAATAGTCTATTATCTATTGAAAATATGAATTAATAAGTATAATTATTAAATAATAAATTTGTTTATTTTCGTACTCTACACAGAAATGACTTTCACTATTGTAATCGATAACAGTTGCTTGGGTAAGCCACTGAACCCAAACAACTGCTATTGTGTAAACTAAACTACGTAAACATTAATCAACTTGTTTTTAATCAAAATATAGTTGTATTTTATTATCAAAAATATACAATTTATAAAATTATATGTAAGTTTAACATAAATTTCGATGTAATAAATACAATAATAAACTTATATGTTCTTAATTTCTATATGACTTTCAAAAACAAAATATAACTCTATCTCTAATGTAAATTAAAGTATGATTATACATTTTTAAAAGTATAACTGTCTAAAGACTAAAATACAGTAAATTTTAAGAATTTTGCTTAAGATTCTTATGGATTTTTTTTATCATATATTCGTAGTCGTCTCATTACTAAGTTGGTTATCAGAATAATTATCTATGAAATACATATATGACAGTATTTCGTTAGTAATATCCATAATATAGCCCTTAGACATACGAAATATAAATTTTAATTAACGTCAATAATAACTGAACAGACTTTTTAAAAATTGTTATACATTTCCTAGATATTGTATACTCATTTAATTTTCTTCTCTTCATCATTGCTAAGCACAATCAGCATTTTATTTATTACAGACTATCTTCTGAAGTTTTTTCTTTAGCATTTAGAAATTTATTTGACTGTGTTCCGAAAGCTTTATTATCAGACAATGAATTTTCCCTTTAAATTCTTACATAATAAAAAGCGGTTTTTAAATCGTTTAAAAACCTTCATTAGCAAAAATCTCCGAGTTAACAAAATATTTTCCATTTTCTTTTAAATGATTAAAACTTTTTAGTGCCTTGTTTAACTGCACTGAAATCTAATAAGATTGTTTTCACTGCTATTGTCAATTCAAATAATAAGTACTTTTCCGTTTTTGAGGCAGAGCGTTAGGAAAGACTCTTTCCTCTGTGTGGCTTGCAGAATTGTGTTCGTTCTCAAAATTTAATCGGTCGATTTTGATGAAACTTTTCCATTTTCTATTATTTACGATGAGGAATCCAAAAAGGTATTTAAAATTGCAAAGACTTTTGGTAGTATTTTTGGTCGTTAACGTTTATTTTTTTGCCGACTATTAAGTCTAAATTATTCTTTATATTGTAAAGATTCCAAGATATTATCCTAAACGAAACCTCAGAAATACATCGTGTTATGCGAGGTTTACTAATTTTCTAACATATTAGAACAAAACCGTATTATCGTATGATGGGGCGACATGGAGGACAGGGAAATATGGAATACTTTAAGCAAATAACTTCAGAAATAATTAAAAGAGTAAGTTTTGGAAACCATCGACAAGTGGAAATAATTTGCGAACAGTTCCCCTTCATTTAGTTAAAAACTGGATTTATCAACATTTTTTCTAGAATTTGGAGGAATTAGTTTTTATGCGCGTTGTACTGAGACTAAGGCCCATTGACATCTGGTCTTAACCTCATTAGACTAGAAACTCAGTAGTAATATGGCTTACAACTTATGCGTTGCACTTGATCCACTTGGGCTCGGCACGGTGATCTACAAACGCGCAGCCATCTTGACTGGTAGAGTGAGGGATGAGGGAGGAAGAGCAATTTCACAGTGCAGTAGTGATATGGTTGGAAAAGGGTCCGTTGGCCTAAGGATATGTCGAACTCCGTTCCTTACTACCCGGCATCGCTTTGTGAAACATGAATTGCGTTTCAAGTACCAGTATGAACCTTATATAGACACGCATAGCATTCTGCAAAAGGTACGAGTGTTTGAAAGGTGTTTAAATACTACATTAATATAATATACAGTATTATTACGCAAAATTCTTGTAACTTTTAAATTAGTCTAGGCTATTTATGCATATGTTTTATGCAGCGGTCTTGTTTTGTTTTATATTTTCTATAGTTTCACTTTATTTTATTTAGAAAATAATTTATAGGGTTCGTAAATAGGGCTCATGTCCTTTATAATCATAGGCACAAAAGTTTTCAGTTTTGAATAATGTATTCTATTTTTTATTTTGAATAAACCTAATATTTTTTGTATGAAATATGATTGTTTCTTAATTGAGAAGCCAACAAATCACTATAAAATTAATACTGTAGATGATGCAAGTGAAATGGAAAACTGTTTTTCTGCCAAAGAAGAAAAATCTTATGTGACAAACTTCTGATGTTGGAGAGAAGAGAGTTTCCTACTAGACATCTTGATAATAAAGATTCATGAAACTTCTATTACTTTGATCTAGCGCAAGCCAAAAACGGTGCATGACTTGCATAGATAAAGTATAGCATGTGGTACTTGCCTGGAAGCATTTGGCCAAAAGAAGTTTGTGTATAGTCGTTGCCTTTAATAACTAAAGTTTTTACTTTTTTTACTTAACTGTTGCTATTTATGGTTGTTCCATCTAGCCTCTATCATCATCTGCATACTGTTCCATACTAGTTACTACCCCACACAGTGGGGCATAATGAAAAACATAACCAATATTTTTAATATGCAATAATTATTTTAAGAATAAGTGCTTTGTTGTAATTTTTTAATTAGTTGGCCTATACATCAAAAAGATGTTTTAAGTTAGAAAACTGTATTTAGATAAGGATTTTCTGCTTATTAAAAATAATAATAATAATAATAAGTGTTCCATTTCGCCCAATCCTGCCATATAAGAGTAACGCATATACTATATCGAGATTCTCTGTATATTTAACCAGATGAGGAAATTAAATTCGAATTATTAAGTAAGTGTTACGCCATATGGTAATATTTCATTAGAACAAAATTAATTTCTGTCAAAAAGATATCTCTTATATTCTAAAGTAAAATCTCTAATGTAAAGAAATTCTAAAAATTTGGGTTAACATAAAAATTAATGTTAAACTGCATAACAAAGATAAGAAACTATAAACTGATTAGTACCGAAGAAAGAACAACTATAAACTTATTGTTTAAATTTAAGATAAGTTCTAGTCGTAAGAGAAGAATGTATCAATCATTTGATAAAATACACTCTGTTATTTTCTTCATTCGTGGAGAAATTAATAATACAGTATTATAAAATAAAATAATTGTAGATAATGTTAACCTAATCCAGCATAGTTTAAATACTACAATGTTAAAAATGTGTTATAAACATTAAGCGCATAAAATTTATATTAAATTTCTTTTTTTCAAGCCTATTTTTCAGTTTCAATTTCCTGAAATGTTTCTTCAGATGGAATTTTCTTTCTATATTTTCTATCACGTACTTTTGAATCTTTTCTAAATTTTAATATAAGAATATCCAAGATATTTAAACATACTGGAAGTATGAAAAGTCCATGCAATACAGAGAAAATAATAACTAATATAAATATTCTAAAATTCGTTAACATTATATTAATAGGTACTGTTAATGTTATTAAAAGGCTCAACAACGTAGTGATAAATCCTTGAAAAATTGGCATACCTGTTGCTCTCAAAGCTGTCATTATCTTTTCATTTGGTGATTCTCTCTTGCAATTTATATATACATAACAAACATGGGTACAATAATCTATTGAAAATCCAGAAGTGATTATTAATCCAATTATCATTGCAAAATTCAATCTTTCATTCAGTAATTCCAAATATCCTAGAAGACCAATTAAAACTGAAATGATAGTTAGAGATAAACAAACGCTGCATAATACATCAGCTGTCAAGAGATAAAACACGATTATGACAATACAGACGGATGCAAATATAATCTGATAAGTCATATTGGCTAAAGGTAAAAATGATTCATATTTTACAAACCATATATTTTGCACTATAACAGGATAAACTGATGCATCAGCAATAGATCTTAATTGAAGGACCATATACTTTAAATCTTCTTTGTCTACTTTTTTTGTTGTAATAAAAAACCTACTAGCTGTGATGTCAGTGTAATTATCATTGAAAACGATATCGTCTTTTAAACGTTTTGCCAGATGTATACGTAGATATACGTCTCTTAATCCATTTATGAAACTTTGTTTGCAAGATACGTTATATCCATTTAGCGAAAACTGACCTATAAAGCTATTACTGAAATGTATATAGGATCTCAACCACGATTCAGTATATTCAGAAATGAAAGAATTGCTTTCAAAATTAGTCATGATCTCTTCGATATTGTTTTGCACAATTGGATCTGAATAATCTAGAGTTTTATTTATAATAATTTGAATTCTATGACTGTAAGAACTAAAATATTCAGAGTGTTCGTTCAAAAATGCCGCAACAAACGAATCCCTTCTAATTAAATCGACATAATCCAGACCTTCTTTCAATTTTGTTATTCTCCAAGCACCGATAGATAAATACAAAAATAAGATTGTAATTATTATGGTTTTCGTAGTATTATACTGTAAATATTTCCCAAGTTTTTCGCTAATTTTATGAAAAAAGATATCTCCATCGTTTTCTGAAAGATAGCAAAATATTTTCAGTTTGAATACTTTGAAAGTTTAAAAATTATTTTAGAATATAATGTAAATTCATAACTTTATTACTTACCTGTATCATTTTTTGCAATAAAGCGAAATGTGAAAGGATGTAATCTTTTCTCCTCTCTATAGCCACTAAGAACCACACATGAACCAAAAAAAGTTAACTGATATATGTAAGTAAAGACAACTGCAGAAGCCATGTACAAGCAAAATAACTTAGTGGCAGGATATGGAAGAGCGTATCCAACTAAAAACGATGTAAAATTAGTCAATGAAGTGATTGTGACTGAAACAGCAGCTTCAGAATATGTATCACTCATTCTCGTTTCCACGTCTTTATTTCTCGTTCTCCTCCAAGCAGCCAATATAATAAAAGAATCGTCCATACTAACTCCTAAAATTTAACATCGTATCAACCTTTAAACCAGATTACTAAATGCAAAATCAAAAAACCATCTTACCTGCTACAAGAAATAAAATGCTTATATTAATATCAATATATTTGACTCCACAATATAATAGCAGTCCAAAACTGGATACAATAGCTATTAATACAGATATTCCAGCTGCTAATCCAATCCAAGGTTTGCTTATCACAGGATTAGATGACATGCAACTCAAAACGCTGAAAAAAACTATTAACAATGCTATCAATCCACTGTAAGGCAAAACAGTTTCCGATATTCGATTAAACTCAATATTCGTCGCTTCAGCAGTAATCCACGATACTGAAATGTTCTCAAAACGTACAGCTGTGATAACTGAAAGAAATTTACTCTGCCAAAGCCTTCCAAGTTCCTGGAAATCGTCTCTGTTATCAATGAAGTATAACAGTCGTAAAGCCAAGCACGATGTAATTCTTTCTGAATCATCAACGGTAACTCCTCCAAAGTATAATCCAGTTATAATATAAGCGACTGAGTTAAATGTTATTGGATATTTTAAAATTCTTCTTCCGTTAAAATATTCTTGTATTTCACTTTCTAACTTAAATATATCTTGAACATGGCAGGAATTTTCGGAACGTGCACAAATATCCTCATAAGTCCAGTTACGACCGGAATATTCAATTCTAATATTTCTGATAACCTCATCCAACTGCTTTAATTCTCCGTAAGTTTCCTTTCGTAATATATTTTTCCCATCTTTAGAAACTGCAATAAGTGATACATAATCAGTCAACTCGGTTATTCGTAATACATCAAAGTTAATCGATCGATTCATGGGAAACATTTCGTTTGCTATTCTCTTCTCCATCAATCCACGATTACCAATTGGAGAAAAGAGATATTCCATGTCAGTTTCAAATTTTAACTTTAAAAATCCCGTAACTAAACATGCTGAAACAATAAGAGGTGCGAAAAGAAATAAATATGGATGTTTCGCTATACATCTTCCTAAACAGGCAAATAGTTTAGGTAAATTTAATCTGAGAAAAGTCAACGTCATTCTTTGAATCTATCAATGTAAAATAAGATCTGATTATATTTATATATAAAGCGGATGAAAAACTTACTCTCTGCGTGCTTCTTAATCTAGAAAGCCAAAGTTAGTAATTTGAGGAAAATTATTTACCTACCCATTAATAATTTTTATCTTCCTTAATTACAAAACTGATAGGTTTACAAAGAGCTTAC